GACTTTTTTTCCCGCGGACCATGTTGCAAACATCCGAGCGCGGTCCCAGTGCAGCAGACTACCGGGCGCAACCTGTTCGAGGAGAAGACTCCACCCCACCTAACCTAGCCGAGGCTTACGACAGGCGGGAGGCAAGGGGCGGCACCTCCGACGAGTCTGCAGGGACGTCACTCAGGAGAGGCGGCTCGCCGTCGAGGTTAGCAGTGCTGGAAATGGGAAGCGACAGCATGCTGGCTGCGAAGGAAAGCGCTGCTGCGACAGAGAGAAACCCGGACCACCTTGCTACAAAAGCAGCACCGCATGCTGGTGGGATTTTCGCTCTTGTCACTGTAGTCATTCCCCACAATCTAAGGCCGCAGTGTGAAAATTACGCCTTTATGAGCAACTTGGACAGATTACGACGCGTACTTCTACAAATGGTGCGAAGTTTGTAGTTGTCGATTTCAACGCTCGCATTGAACAACTCCCAGGGGAACATCATGTCGTTGGTCCTCATGGCTTCGGCGTTGAAGCACAACGACATGTAGAAATGTCAAATCGCACGTTTTTATTAGAATTCTGCAATAACCACAAGTTCGCAGTCGCAAAAAAAAATTGCAACGTTACCGCAGAGAAAAGAGTCACCTACCATGAACCTGGAATGCCACCACTTGCACCCGTTTGCCCTAGAGACGCCGGGAAAGCTATTGGTCCTTGCACAGGCTTTGGACACAGTACATGTCTGCAGCGACCGCTTAGCAACCTTAGCCTCGAGGCATTTTCCCGTCATGGCATTGTTTCGCGTAAATTTGGAGTGTCATGCCGGCAACCCCAAGAAACATACGTGGAGGCATTGGTTCGGTCCCAGTGCACCTGCTGGCTACGGTGCGCGAGACCTAAGTCCTAAGTTTCCGCTGGGAGTCGGCTGGCAGCCGCGTGTCGAGCCATCGCTCGTCTTCTAGGACCTCATGCACAGCCAGCTCCCCGGCAGTAATGGCGACAGAGTCGAGAGGCAGTTCGAGCAGTGAGCTGGCGGGGGTCCTGCGCCGCAACGGCGATGATGGCACTCCAGCACGAAACAGAGGCTGCACGCAAAGCAAAGCCGAGAGGTCAACAGCATGCGCTCGTGCGGCTCGCGCTCGCGCCAGCGCAAGAAAGCTGCAGCTTCGGATCCCGAGGGCGAAAACAACGAGGTGGCAGCGCGGCGAGCGCGACAGCTCGGGCTAAGTGTCGCTTGCGCGGCGTCGCGTGTTGAAGTGCAAGGCTAGGTCCAGAATCAGCCCTTGGTCGCGGCTCACCGGAGCGAGTGACATGGCTGACGCTTCTGGCAGACATCTGACGAACTTGTGGGAGAAACACTAACTGTGCGGCAGTGGTTCTCGAGCCATGCTTTTGCATCGTCCAAACAGGAGGCTTTGGGACTATTCCGATAATGATGTGACAGATTTGGGAATTTCAAATTGCCGCTAGTGCTACTACTACATTTTAATAAGAGGCCGAGCATCTTAAGCTTTCTGTCCAAGAGCTCCCGAGCGCTTCAATGGCTTCCAAAAACGCCGCGCCCCGTTAAACCCCATCCAACAGCCCCGTGATGATCACATCTTCATTCAAACGGCTTGTTTTGATTCCACGCACCGTTTTGCGACAGCAAGACACGTCTGGTCGAGCGAAGGTTAGCCTCCCCGTGCTTATGTTGTCAGGGACTCTGCACGGGCGTTGCCATGTTTTCGCCACACGAGACAACTAACCCGTTTCTGACACGCGCTTAGGCTCTAGAGCCGACTGCTGGAACGCATGGAGAGGTGCGAGCCGCGAGCCAAGCTAACGGTTTAATATATTAACAATGCCAACATAGCCCGCCAACGCCTAGCCCATGCCGACGAAGCCGGCTCCGCACGGATGGCAGAACTCGCTGAGCTCCAAACAATCCACACGCTGCAAAGCCATGAAGCGTCCCTCGAGCTTATGTTTGACCCGTTGGAGCACATGGGCATGAAAGGCCAAGCGTTTCGCTGACGTGGCAAAATTTTGAAACACACGTGGGCACTTTCTGCGGCCAAACTGTTGGAGTTTGGTTCCATAAGGTGTCTACACCAAGCCGATCGCCACATATATCCAGAGCCATGCGAAAAACTTCTGAAGGCCATGTTTGTTTGGGTCTCCCGCTTCCGAGTTCTCATGCCATCGCGGCTGGAACGTACCAGCAGGGAAAATTCATGTTCGCATGACATCCTCATGTGGAAGTTGCGCGATGTGCCCCAAAAGTAGCAGCTGTTGGCGAAAAAATGATTGAAAGTTCTCAGTGCTCGCTTCTTGCAACACAGAGTCGTTGCGCACGCGGCTGATGAATGGCATCAATTTTGCGAAGTGGCTTTACAGAGCCAGCTGAATGAAGGAGTACATCGAGCGGGAAACCACACAAGCCCAGAAGAATAAAAGCTTTGCAGCTTCTTTGCACATGCCAAATGAGCATGCTTCCATACGCAGTTCAATGCATCGAAATCTGCTTTGGCCATCCCAAGCCTTTTTTTTTTTGGCGTGGGCGGGCCTCGTCGACTGCAATCCGCAGCTCTCGGTCCCTGCAAGAAGCTAAGCAATCGAAGAATCAAAAAGCTAAGCAACTGTACAATAAGGTACAAGAAAAAGACTATGCAAAACCAAGGTGAAACGGGCTGCGACTTGCAGACTTCGCCGGCAGATATCGTTCAGCCCTTGTTAAGCTTCAATTGCTATAGCCGCTCAGATGCCCCGCTTTCCAGATAAACTGGGTGGCGCAATGGCGTGCACACGTTGTAAAGACCAGCTTGCCAGGAGTGTAGGGGCACACAACCCACGCATAAGCAAGACGGCAGGTGCCCAGGAAGGGTGCGTTCTCAAGCCCCATGGCCATATATACCGTTGAAAGAACGACACGCAGTCCACACAACCCAGCCCAGCTTCCCAACAAGGCTCGCAAGGGCACAAAGGGCAGGTCAGACAATCGGCAGTAGCACCATGAGCACCGAGGCGAGGTGCATACAAAGACTCTCAAAGGTCCAGCTTCCCACCCAGTGAGCATCGCCAGGGCTATCGCTAGAAGACAGCTGGCAGAATGGCCAAATCAGCTGGCCACCATGCCCAGCTTCCCAGGAGCAGGCATCGCAAGGGCTGAGACAGGAGGACAACAGTGCACAGAGTAAAATCCCCACAGAAAGAAGGGTTTCAGAGCCGCAAACTTACCCGCTTGTCCAAGCTATTCGAGCTCTGCGCGGACGGGCTGTTTCTGACATTGGGCTGGGCCACACTGTTTTCGATTCCATTTCGATTGTACTTGGCCTGAAGATCAATCTCTCCGAATCTGGAATCGGCTTCGTCTTCTTTGAGAACACCGACAAGAGGCGAGATGAGCTGGTATCCACTCTCGGCGATGTCCTTTCTGCAGGGTTTCTTAGCCTGCAATTTGCAGAGCAGCAGATTTCTGGCAAAAAAGCTGGATTGGCCTTCAAGGAACTGTCGAGGCATGTGGCGAAAGGGGGCGGTAAGTTGGTACCCGAAACCACTGCTGCCCTGACCACCCTTGAGAATCACGTTGCTTGTGCTCCAGCTCGCTGCATAGCGGACCGATCGTGTTATACCTGGCACCTTTGTGTCGACGCTTCATACGATGATTTGCGGGCTGGTATCGTACTCAACCGATCTCACATGTTGATGTGAATATCTCCATTTGTAATTTGATTGACATGCGCGGTTTTGGGGAACAAGAATAAGACAGCTTTCAATCGTGATTGATCAGTCTTTATTCTTTTCAAAAGCTTTTGAAAATTTTGGGTGCGAAAGTTTTCTGTCTGCATGTCAATCTTTGCTTGCCACACACTTTGTTTCCCATGAAGCCTCTTTGGCTGAGGTGGGACGTGGGAAACCCTAGCAATTTTCAAGGCCATATGGCTTGGATTTGTTTTGCCCACCCGCCCTCCCTCGGGGGTGACGTGCCACCGTTCGAGCCTTTCGGCTCGGCGTGTAATATGTGTGTGAGTGTGATGTCCCACACGGGTTCAGTGGGGCACTGCCGCATTTGCTGTGTGCCAACATAGCGAATTCATCACCCTTTGACTTCGAGGATCGTCGTAAAAGATTGCCCGAGTGCGAGTGTTTGCGCCATATTCAAATGCAAAGATATTTGATTGACTTCCCGTCGATTCAATTCATACTTATACCGATCTCACATGTTGATGTGAATATCTCCATTACTGGAGCCTCACTGTGCTTCACCCCAGCCAAGAGCCCCAGCCCTCTGCCCAATGCTGTTCAAAACATCACCCCAAAAAGCACAAACGGTGGACCGCACGAAAACGCACGCCGACCAAGAGTTCCCGGACCTGCAGGAGTGCTCAAACCAAAGGCAACATGCGCACGCAGAAGCCCCCACCCTGTGCTAACCCCACTGCTCTCCAAGGTCCGCATGCTAAAGGCAAGCATAAGAACTTGACTCCCCCCCTCACGGACACAGTAACCTGAAAGTCGAGCCTCAAACAAAAACAACCACAACCTGGAGAACGAGCCCAAAGCGAGGGGAAAGCGAGCGAAAAAACAGGCTGACCCCCCCACCTCGAGCCTAGGACTGACACCCCGTTCTGCGGAGTCGGCAAAGCACGAAGTGCAACCAGATTTGCCTGAACCTGAAGCAGCCAAGAGCCCCTCCCGCTCCCCGAAGTGCTGCAAACCAACGCGGTGAAGCTTAACGACGAGGGGATCCTTGCTGAGAGGAGAGCATCACTCCAAAAAGCAAAACCGGTGGAGCGCACGAAAACGCATGCTGCAAACCAAACGCAACTTCAACAACTGCACATGCAGAAGCCCGCCGGCCTGCGCTGGTCGGATTGGTTGGGCCTCTTCGTACTTCTGCATTCTCTAGTTTCGTTTCCGCATTGAGCGCCTCCCTGGCCACCTTGAGCTCCTTCTTGGCCTCCACGAGCTCCTTCTTGGCGTGAGCTCCTCCTTGGCCACCTTAAACTCCTTCTTATTCTTGTTCCCAAAAACCGCGCATGTCAATCAAATCAGAAAAGGTTGAGGTGCCCCAAGCTGCTGAGTTTTTTGGCAAGCTGCTGTTCGACGACACAGAGGGCTGGCCGCTGACAGATGCTGGCTACCAGTTGTCACCAAGCTGCATCGTTGACCTCAGCAGGGGCCCATTCAATGGTGTGTTGACTTTAAGCACGGCTGGGAAAGAAAAAACACATCTCTTGGATCGGGACACAGAGATGCAGGATGTGGTGAACAAAGTTGTGGCTCGAGCAAAGATTCTGAAAAGGCGTACCAGCTCTGACAAGAATGCTTCCCCAGCGCTCCTAACAGCGCAGGCGCCCGGCTCTGGCAAGAGCCATTTCCTGGCCGAGCTGGGGGTGAAGATCCCGTCCCTCTGGGATTTGGATGGCCAGAAGCAGAGGCCTTTAGTTTCCGCGTTCACTTACGGTTCTGCCATGGGCAACAAGTTGACCCATGGATCTGTTACGAGCACCAGCGAAGTGGACTTGGCGCAACGAGTTCTGTACGGCGCAGCCCATCACATGACAAGGGCTGGATTGCACTGCACTTCTTGGATGGGCTTCTTGGATGCCATCCATGCCGCTGTTTCATCCAGCATTCTGGCGAGCCTTGTCAACCTCAATGTTGTGGTAAAGATCCTGCATCACTTGCATGGTGTTCGGCCCCTCGTGATCCTTGCCCTGTCAGGTGGTTCTGTCGCTGGCTCCATTGCGGACATTGGAGACATGGGAACGAACCTCCCACCCCAATTCCGTGCAGAAGAGCTGGAGGAACTGCTGCAGTCGTGGGAGTTGGTGGACTGCCCTTCGGGCAGCTGTCTCAAGTCAGTGGCATAATGTCGCTACGGCCGGGCATGTACAGGGGCTGGTGGAGCCAAAGGAGGTTCGGAACCTCACGACAGAAGAAATTTTTGCCCACTGTCCCAGCCTGGCATGCAGCCAGCAGGTTCGAGACCTCAGGTGGAAGGGGCAGTCCCATTCTAGGTCGGAAAAAGCTTTGGCACATGATGGGAGAAGCTTATCAGACCAAGCATGAGGCGATTGAAAGCAGCAACGAGACAATCATGAAGCCGCGGCGTACTTCACGGAGGTCACAGGTGCCGTTGGTCTTATGCTTGCTACAGTGAAACTGCACGACAAGCTTCCACAAGCTCTCAAAACAGACTGTCAAAGCTTCCTGGATATAGGCTTTAACGACTCCCTTTTTTTTGGCGTGAGCGGGCCTCGTCGACTGCGGCTGTAGCACTCGGTCCCGACAAACGAGACAAACAAACAAACCTAATCCAAAAAACAGCGGTGAAACAGGCGGCTCTAGAAGTAAGGCAAAAAAGCTAGCTGCGGCGCACAGGCTTTGCCGGTGTTGGCCCTTCAGCACAGCTACGGGGCCTCAGCGACGGATCCACAACACAGAAGGCCGTCGCCCAAAGCTGTCCAAGACAACCGGTGGAGCCCAAAGTCAAATCTCCGGCCGCCGTTCAAGTTCCGTCGAACAACAGTCAGCCCCGGAGTCCTGTTGTGTCACGATCGTGCACACGAAGTCCACAAATCCAGACCTATAGCCTGTGGCGAAGCAATTGACCCAACGACGTATGTCGGCGGTCGCAATGCGCTGGCAGGTGGGCAGACGCCTCTTGTTACTGGGTGCGGTCCAGTTACTGCGGCGGCCAAGCATCCAGCAGGCGCTGCATGTCGTTGCCGCCAAGCGGAAATTGGGACTCGTGCAGAAGGTACAACATTTGAAAATTGCGTTGCGCATACATCTCACGCAAACAGTGGAGCTGTACCTGTGAATATCCAGATCGGGCTCATGGAGATGCGGCATGAGTTCCGAGGATATGAAAGGGATTTGAATGCCAGGGCCGAGTCCACCCGCGCCAAGAAGGCGTCAGCTTCTGCTTTCCAGCTTGGCCCCAGGAGGCTTTAACGACTCCCTGGCGCCGGACCCCGACCTTGCAACAGCAAGCAAGAACGAGGCACGGCAAAACCTCAAGCGTTTTCTGCAGAAAGCTCGAGAGCTGGGCACTGATCACTGCGGCAGCGCGCCTTTCCTTTCATGGCTCCTGCCGACTGCATGGCCCTTGACTTTGTCATCTTCCGTCGGGAAAGTGAGATTTGGTCGCCGCCGTCCAAGTCAAGTCCAACACTCCGCTCAAAAAAAAGGATTCTACGGAGCAGGCGAAGAGCCTGCGCAAGCAGCAAAACTGTGAGGCAATTCAACATGGACTTTTTGGCGGTGCTTGGCTCCAATTTCCCCACAGGCGTCATCAATGACCCACACTCGTTGCAGCATGACGACTTGGTGGCCCTCATCCCATCCTTCTCTGCGCCATCTCTCAGGTCTTGCTGCTGGAGTACCAGGCCCTGACAGCGCCGGAGGATGGGCCCCACCCCCTTTGACAAAGGGGGGCTTAAGCCCCCCTTGAAGCCCCCCTTTAAGCCCCTTTAAAGCCCCCTTTAAAGGGGTCTCCCCTAAGGGGGGGGGGTGAGCCGATACACCCCTTTAGGATTACTCCTGTGGGAGTGTATACGACCAGTTTGAGTCCCGTGGGATCTAAGGCAACGCCCAGCACACGGACAGCGATTGTTTTGTTCTGCTACGCAGAGAGAGCTTGTTGTCAAGTCGGTAAAACCACTTGAGCCAACGAGCAGCGGACATGTATACATGTGAGCATGCAGCCAAGCCATTGCTGTAAGTACCACCCCTTTAGAGGTTTAGGCAAACAAACAGACACTAATTTTCTTTTACTGGAAGCATGGCCGCGTGTTCACACATATACACTTGAAAGTGCTCACTGAACTCAAGACTAGCGGAGTATGGACTCATTGTAAAGGATGATATCTTAGATATTCCATAAATTACGAAAAGTTCACACTCACTCACTTTTGAGTCTGCAAACATGAATCTTGTCATAGAGAGATCTTCTGTACATGATCAGGTCTGTGACTGCTACTTCTACTTCGAATTATGCAACGGCTCACTGGACTCTTGTTAGAGTATTGGCTTTCTTTTCTTGCTGCTGCTGAGTTATTCACCCCTGTGCCCGATCCAGGTTTGGATCATAAGATCTGCTGAGGGTGTTCGGATGTGGCTCATCCGGTTCTGAATGGTCTTCCTCACTACTGGAGTGAATGCCAAGGAATTGATTCTCAGCTCTGGTAAAAGCAGCATCTGGAATGCCATATCCGTGATCGGATGTTTCTGGTCCTGCCTTAGCTTTCGGTGCAGCTTGTGAGCCTGTTGCCTTGGGATAACCTTGGGAGCATGCTGGCTGTTTAGCCTTTGCTTTCGCCTTTGCCTTCTGGCGGGCTTGTCCATCGGAGGATGGCCAGGAGTGCTCTGACTCGTCTCCTGATGGAGATAAAGCATTAGCATGTCCGCTATCCCAATACTGGTGTGTTGACGGTGACGGTGGTCCGTCATCTTCCTCTTCTTCTGAGTCATCCTCAGAACTTGGGTCGTCGAAGAGGCTCTCCAGAACATTCCGGAGATTGTTGTGTCTCCTCTCGATTTCAAGAGAGTTATGGAGCAACTGGTTGAAGATCGTCTTTGCATTTTGTAATGCAGTGACAAGAGTCTGTACTCTGGATAGAGTGTCAACATGCTTCTCAATGTGCTCTTTTCTTTCGTCTCTATCCCTCTGGGTAGAGTTTCTCAGCTCCATCGTATAATCGAGGATGTTGTGTACCTCGGCAGCGGCATGGTTACCGTCATGTCTTCGTCATTTATGACGATTGCTCCATCGCCTGTAAGGCTTCGTTGGGGTACCTCAATGACGGGAATAAACTCTGCGCTGAAGACTTCTTCCTCATCGAAGCCTTCGATATGCTGTAGCATATTTTGATGGAACTGTTCGGTTGACTCGAGTGACTCGATAGTGTGATCGATTGTTTGGATGTGCCTGTTGATAATGTTTCTGCACATCTGATTGGTAGCCGAACCAGTACTGGTTTCACCAAGAGCTGCATCTGCTTGATTGCAGAGTCCCTGCTCATGGGCTGCCTTGATAGCCTTGCGCTGAATGCGCTTGTTCATGCCACCTCGTCTTGTACAACCTTTTGGTCTAGCCGAGGGTACAGAAGCCGATCCTTGAGAGGATGCCTTGGCCTTTGGCGGCGGATGTTTCGGAGGAGGTGAGATGCTGGCTGCCTTGGAAGGCATTGGTGACATTGCCGAAGAGGCTGATGGTTTTGCACTTGGTAGCGCCGCCTGACCTCGGGCCTTAGCTGTTGAGCTCTTTGAGAACGTGGTGTGTGTCAGGGCTTCATTGGCCATTTGTGCATGAAGAGCATCTTCAAACAAACTCCTCATTTGAGGAATGTTGCTCGAGTTTTCATAGGCCCGGAGGCGATCAATGTCTCTTTCGGTGCCACGTGATCGTGTATCACCTCTGTTGAAGATATCGTTTCTCCGAATCTCCGCCGTTGTTACGGCATGGAAGCATGTTTTGCAGAGAATCTTTCGCGACTTGTCTCTCGCTTGTCTGAGCTGATAGCATTCGCTGGAGAGATGATAGCACTGGCTACTCGCAGTATGCCAGATTGGTCGTAGATCTGTCGATTCTCCTGCGTTAACCCTATTGGGTCCTGTCAGGTCTCTCGACTCAGGCTCGTCCTCGGGTTCGAGGAAAGGAGCACTTTGTTTGGCTGCTGCCTTCGGCTTCGGTGGGTGCTCCATACACTGTACTGGAGCTCTCGTCAACTGCTTCCACATCCACCGGAGCCCCATCAGCAAGAGGAAAACATTCCATACAATGCTGAAGAAGGAAAACTCATCACTTGTTAGTGAATCTGGCAGCGAGGAATGATCGGTCTCCGTTGGCTCTGCATTTGCTCCCCCACGTCTGGGTGTCCGAACCATCCTAATAGTCCAGCTGCTGCTGCAGCAGTTTTGACTGCCTTTGCACTTGGTGCTGATGGTGGACGCGAAGATTTTCTTCTCCTCCTGCCTGAGGATTCATCTTCTTCTTCCTCTGCTCGTTGCGCATCCATCAGGTTTGATGTTTCGCGCTCGTGCTCCTCAATGTCACTCTGAGTTGGTGACTTCTCTTCATCGACTTCGTTAAGCTCGTCCAAAGACATGTTGAGCTTTTCGACCACGTTTGGCCTTTGGTTTCTGGACCTTGATCTTGGTAGATCATGTTGGTCGGATGAAGAGGATGCCCGCTCTCTTCCTGGTGGAGGATTTGGAGGCTCATTTGGACGTTCGGTTTGTGGCCTCTCCCACCACCTGTTGTACGACTGGGAACGACCTGAGGGTCGTGATTTATCCCACCAGTTGTTACCGGAAGAATATGTGAAATGCTCTTGCGACTGCCGATTTTCGGCTAGCCGTTGATTATGCTCTTGTCGCTTTTTAGCGAGTTTCTCCACTTGTTCATTTGATCTGTTGTGCTTCCCTTTGGTGCTCATAGGTTGGATTGTGAACCCTAGTGGGCTATGCCAATCTTTGTCGGAGGGAGCCAACCAGAGGTCGGTATTGGAAAAAGTGGAATAATATCCCTTGGTATTGATTTGGAGACGGGCATCGATTTCCTTGATTCTGTTGATCTCATGCCATCTGTCTGAGACCCGCTCCCAGTACGTCCTTTCGACGGCTGGGGTGATCTTCTTGTGACTCGGAGTCGCCGTGTACGGCGTTTTACCCCAGTCCAAGACATAGGCGTTAATGCAGTCGAGGTCTGCATATCTGTCCCTTGCTTCCGGTAGGAGTCTGTTGGCATATTGCAGTCTGTGCTTGTCTGAGTTATTGATGCAGGAATATCGCACTTGCGAGTGCCTGTCTGCCTTGTGATTGAATGCTGCCAACTTCTTCTCTAGTGAGAGAGTAAAGAGGCTAT